CCATAGGGTGGGGGTTGGGACAGTGGGGGGAGGTTCTTGGGGGGCTCGTGCAGAGCCCCCCACGCAGCATGGGGAGCTGGGATCACTCTCCCCTCCCCCCCCACCTGGCAGCAGCCACTGAGTCAGGGCTTTTGTTTTTTCCAAGTGCTGGGAGCTGGAGCAGGCAGGGCAACCATTGCCAGGGCTGGGAAAGGGGGCAGGTGGGTGGGCTGGGCCTGGGCCTAATTGATTCGGGACAGTGATTCAAATCACCGAATCGAATCACTGTCCACTGAATTGGCCTAATCCAAAGCAAATACTAGCTGCTTCGTGCAGGCCTACTTTTTGACACTTATCTAATAGCTAATTGAATTAGCTTCAGATAAAAAGTGCCAAAAAGCCCTGCTGAAGCATGCAATTTATACACATGCTGAGGAGCTGGGTTGAACTAATGAGTTGCCTCTTCCAGTAAAGCAAATTTTTTTTCTTTTTTGTATCTGTCAGCAGCCAAGTTGCTTAAAACAATTAATTTACAGACTACATTTTCCTTAATTCTTTGCCACGTAAACATAAATGCAGTATTAAGGAAATAAAACTGACTTAATATTAAAGATTTCCTGAGTCTTTCTAAAATACCCACATTGTTTTAGAAGGAAAAATCTGTTATGCTTCACTTTTTTCATCAAGAAGAAAAAAAACTTACCTAATTTAAGCGCTCCAGCAAGGCCACGTATTACAGTAACTGGGTTGTTTGGATTTGTACAAAATTGATGTAAAGGTGGAAAGAAAGCATCACGTTTATTTTCCAACTGCAAAATTACAAAGCAGTATTAAATCTCCGGGGAACATAGGATTTTCATAAGTAAAGTTAAAAATAATAGACCAAGCGGAGGTCAGGAATCCTATCCATTTCCATACTCTCCTGTGAATTAGGAGTTATATCATACAACATATTCCTCTTAAATACTGCTTTCACTCCTTTTAAAATTAATTTGGTCACTGCAATAAAATTTCTTGACAAAAATTCTTCCTAGGTCACTTTGTGCCTGAAGTGTGTGTCTAGGCTTAGTTTTACAGAAATTTATTTGACATAAACTCCAGAAATCTAGAAATATTAATTGTTTATACATTTCCTGTTTGGATTGTTAGCTCAAAGGATCCTCTTTCTTTATGTGTTGTCCCTCCCTAAAGAACAAATCTAATTTTTTTTTACTGCATGCTTTCATAACCAGGATATAGAATGAATCATTTTTCTGCTCCTCATTGCACATTCTCCAAATCCATCAAATTCTTTTTATAGCCAGGCATTATGGTTTTATGTTAACCTCCAAGAGTTACGAAAAGATAATACTTTACAGAATGTTCAAGGGATAACTGAAATAGAAATATTGTCTACACTGTATCTAGTGTTAACTAGAATAGCTGATTTTGCTCTCACATGGCTGTGTGGCACCTTTATGTCTAATGACTTTTTAACGCTAGGTTTTCCTCAGTTTGGTACTGTTGCCAATCTTTTAACATCTTTCCTCTAGGGGGCAGAATGGGTCAGGGCTCCAGAGAAAAAAAGGGCAATCTACTCTCTGGATAGAGGCTTGGAAGATTCTAGAATGGTTTGTTACTTCTCTATCACCAAGGAAGACAGATTACAAAGATTCTGGGATACTGCCAGATTGTGCTTTTGAAATAGTGATACATAAAGAAAGATGGAGTAAGAAAAGCTTTAATTAAAATATTTCACATCTCAACCGTTTTCTAATATTTACATTTTGCTAACATTTATTAGAATTTTTGCTGGTTTTTGTTGCGTTTTGAAGTAGACTGGTAGATTATTTTAATGTAGTTATTTAGTAATATATCATTTTAACTAACAGTTTGCAAATGTAAGAAATATTAAGTATTTTATATTTGACCTATTAGTGAATTGGGTCTCATGAACTGCCTCTCTGCTAAACATGCTTAAAGAATTAAGAACTACTGTTTTCTATTTAATTTAGCAATCATACTGAAATTCTAAGTTTGATTCATTTCCTCCATTGTTTAGCTAGGTCCCAATATTTCTTTTAGGGACAAAGTTTTGTATTTTTGCATGTTGGGAGACCCCTGCAAAATTCACTTCTGAATAAGACATCTTTTAAAAATACTTATCTAAATTAAAAAACTAGTTGAATAGTTACAAAAAGCACTAACAATTTTTTCCTACCAGTTGGTATATACTTACATAAATACTAGGTGTAGGTGGATTCAATTTGTCCTTTGGCAAGGGGGGGTATGGTGGAGGTGGTGGTCGTGGTGGTGGACATTTATCCAATAAAATACTACTGTTAGATAAGCCATTTTTACCCAGATTCCTAAAAGGAAAAAGAGCTGTCTGTGTGAGCATTTAAAAGAAATGTAACAATTTGCCGAATATATGCTCTCCACACATTAACATTTTTTCTGCCCAGTAGTGATGTACAAGGGTAAATTGTTAACACTTGTTAAAAAAATACAGGTATATTTACTAGATATATTTGAGTTACATATTAATATTTTTTTCTTCTGCACAGTTGTACAGAGCAAATGATGTTAAAACTCCAATATACAATTTAATCAAGAATTCTCATTAGTTAGATGATGCTATTTTAAATCACTCCCACCTGCAGATCCCCTTCGAACTTGTATTACTACCAATATTAGTTAAAAATATAACTAATCTAAATAAGAATAGTATGCATTACTTGACACATTCATATAAAAATATAAACACAGTAGAACCTTACTCAACTGGCTTTGACTACTGGGTAATATAAATAAAGCTACGAGATCATCCAGTCATTCTGGTAATATACTGTACAGTATCTTAAGAGAATGCATAGTGATTATTAAACTGATAAGCTTAAAAACTTTTATTAAGAAAATGTTTTACAAATATGATCACAGACAACAGAGTTTATAGGAGAATTTTAACCAAAGACTTTAAAAGTCACCAACTACAGAACTTGCAAATTGCTGGTTCATAGTTTGCAATCTGTATACACACAAGTCACTGTGATCACTTAGTCTGCCATCCTGCATTACATAAGCCATACAATTTCCCTATGTTAATACCTACTTCCAGACTAATAACTGTACTTGGTCTAGACATTTTTTTTTTTTTTTTTTTAAAGAAAAAGATGCAGTCTTGATTTTAAAATCTTCGAGATGGAGACTACACTAAAGTGCAAGCAAAACTGTTCCAGGAGTTGACCCCAACTATTAATCTGGATTTCTCTAGCTTCAATTTTCAGCAAATGGATTCACTATACCTTTATTTGCTAGACCTAAACTGATAATCAATTCCTGTCTGCCACATAGGTATTTATGAACTACGATCAAACTACCCCCTAACTTTCTTATTCAAGTTAAACAGAACAAGTTCCTCTCCACGTCCCTCTGAATAATGTAGGGTGTGGCCAATTTGCAAAAGTTGGCCACCATGCCATAAGTGGCAAATACATCTGCTTTGTTTGGCACAAGGTAGATCCATCAGGAAGCAGAGAAAATAGCTGCACACAGGGCAGGGAGCAGAGAACAGAGCAACGGATAAGGCAGCAAAATGGGATCAGAGTGGCGGTCAGGGAGGGGGTGGCGCTTACCTTGTGGTATGCCTGCCAAAAAGGTTGACCCCCACTGGAATAAGGCATGTTTTCCAATATATAAATTATTTTATAAACCCCACCTCTTGAACACCAACTGATCATTCCAAGCCCACATAAAGTGGCAAAGATTAAATGGAAATTGAAATATCCAGCCTCAGAAAGCCCACTGGTTTCAGAAACAGAACGGGTTTACTATTCAAACTACCAAATGGCTATGCAAAACGAGATTGCTGATATTCTCTGTTGTCAAGAAAGCCAATCTCTAGAAGCCAATGCTTTGAAAAAATTGATGCTGGTAATAGGCAAAACACCTTAAAGCTGATTATTAGACTACAAGATCAATACTTCAAACATCAAAGACCTCACAGATCATAATGGAGATGGATAACTGTGGTCCTGAAATCCTGGGCATAAGAACACACTGATAGAAGTGGAAAAAGTGCTTTAAGCAAGAAAAGAAATCATCTCATCAACTCATTCCACAGTGATGAGCACTCATCACAACAGACAGGGTAGAGAAAAAAAAGTCACCTGGCAACCCAGAAACCTATCAATCAATATACCAGAAACACCAGATTTCTAAAGATGTCATGCTCTGATAGAGGAACAAAACAATAAGGACAAAGATGAGTTCTACAATTGCTTGCAAAAGAATGACAAAGTATCAAAACAAAACTGCCCATCACAAGGAGCAAGTTAATGCCTAAGTAAATATAACAATCAAGGAAATAAAAAGAGCAGTGGAGAAATTAGAGCTGTGAATCAATCAAAATGGAAAGAAACGCATGAAACTCTACTAGGCAACTCAACCACTTACTTTCAAGTGCCCCGACAATGATACACACAAAGGACAAAGAATTTTTCCAGATGGCAAAACAAACAAACAAAAAATATTAACCTGACTTGCATCATCTGAAGAATCAAATAATCTAAGATGGCAGCAATGACTGCAATCTTTGCATTAACCAACTGCTTGTAAAACTGAGAACGATCATTTTCTGCTTAAAAAGCTGATCCAAAAACAACAGCACAAAATTGAAAACAACAGAAAAATTCCAACTTGAATTTGGGTATTGTCAGGGGCCAAAGATAAGAGAGAAACTGAACATGAGGAAACCTGGGTAAAGCTCACGTGATTTGAGCTACAGTGGTGACATCTGGTTATCTCCATAAACAAAGCAGGACTGGAATAACCCAAAAGATATGGAGCCAGACTACAGACAGAAAAAGCACTGAAAGAAACTCCTGAAGGCTGAAGACCAATAAAGTATTGGAGAAAGCAAAGGAAAAGCATAAGAAAGCTACAAAAAAAGTGAAAAGCCACATAAATAAAGCTAACTAGAGAGACATGGTATAGATCTAGCACCTGAAGCTGCTACCAGTAGCATAACTAGGGGTCGGCAAGGGGGCATCCATCTCAAGCACCAAGTTAAGAGAGGTGCCAGAATTGCGACCCCATCGCTGCTGAGTCTGCAGTCCAGCAGCGCTCCCATGACAGGAGCTCCAAAACAGTTCCCAACTGCTGTTGCTTTAAAAGCAGCAGAACTAGGACAGGCAGAGCATGTGCAGTGGCACCAGCTCCACTGGGACTACTTCCATTGAGGACCCTGCCTTCCATCCCACCACCCCAATTTTCAGAATCCGTGTGGGCCCTGCTCTCAGAACTTGTGTGCCCCCACCCCTTCCAATCTCAGTGCCATGTGCCCCCCGCCCTGTTCTTGGAGCCACATGCCCCTCCCACAGCATTTGCTCTGGGTGCCAACTCTGCTTGTTATGCCACTGGCTACTGCTATGATAAGAAACTACGGAACAATTAACCAAGTGAGTAAAATCCTGTGTGGAAATTTGAAAAAAGCAAATAAGCCAAGTAAAAACAAAGATGAAAATACTTACAAGCAACAAGAAGAAAAGACGGAAAGAGAATGTCAAAGTAGTCCTCAATGCTATATTTCAATGAAACATATTAACCACAACTTGATATTAACTCTAGCCCAAAGAATAACAGAAGTACAGGCCATAATTAGGAAGGTATAAAATAAAGTGGTGGAAGATGATCAAATCAAAACAGAAACATTGTCAAGACACTTGATACCACCATCCTAACAAAACAGACAGAGCTGTTCAGTAAGCAAGTATGGGAGAGACCTCTTTTGATCAGCTGAAACAAAGAATTATTGCCAGTATACCCAAAATAGAGATCTTTTTGAGACTACAACATGTTAGAGGAATCACACTACTCACTACTGTACGGAAAGCTATCTTCAGTAAGACACTGTATAGGGTGAATGTAAAGCTTAAGAATAGCTTAGACTTTGAGCCAAGACTACCTGTGCGGACCATATATTCACATTAAAGACTGCCATATAAGAATGCAGAAAAAGGCAGGTTTCCTTCATCGCCAACTTAACTGACTTTCAAAAAGCATTCAACAGCGTACATGGACCCACTGTAGAATATTCTTCAGTTCAGTTGAATTAGCTCAAGTCAACAATCTCCCGAAGGCTATGTACAGAGATGTAAGATACTCTGAAAGAATAAACTGCCAGGTAAAACGATTTGACGTACACACTACAGAACGAACAGGGCTGCCTTTTCTCTTTGTTACTGCCTGGCACCATAGAAGTAGTACAGCATGGGAAGATGGCAAATGCCTAGACTATGCTGATGACACTGTGCTACTGAATGGCACCCCTACGAAATTACAAATGATGACAGATAACCTGACAAATATAGCATGCCAATCAAAGTTCAAAACCAGATGTTTAAACAAACATCTAAAAATCCCTGATGTCAAAGAGCAACACCACACAAGGGGAAGTGGAAGGGGTGTAGAACAGGTAGGACTGGAGTGGTAACAAATTAGCCAGGAGATCTAAAGAAGGAAGTGCCATCAAGGATAGGAAAAGAACCCATTAAGATCGACTAAAAACCAACAATTTATGGAAGTAAGAGGTGAAGGAGCACCAAAATAAAACTATTTTCAACAAACAAACTTGAAGCTAACATAGTTGTGAGTACTGGAGAGCTATTCAATTCCTTTCTAAAGCCATGAAAGATTCTGAGATCTGAATAGAAAGACTATCACCAATTAAGAAATCTGAGAAATGAACAGCAAGTAGCTTCTTTCCATCGGACTCAAAAGGAAGCACTGGACATCCTCTAGTTCATTTTCAAGATGTTACACAGCCCCAAGTCCAATGCCTTACCTAAGCTTAAGTATCTTGAACCAATGCTATGGCCCATATCAACCAAACTTGCAATTATATTAAAAATATCAAGTTAATTTGACAACACCTGTTAACTAAAAACCTCCCCTGACTGTCATTTATCTTACTTTCTTTAATTCTTTATTAAGTTCCATGAGTTCATAAGTGATGTCAGGCTGACATGACTATATTTGCCAGGCTCACTCTACTTGTAAGTATTTATACAATATTTTTACGTCCAGTCCTCTGTAATTTTCCCAGTGTCCCAAGACTTACTGGAAATCAATATTACATGATCCAGAGAGCTATTAAGCCTGGTCTTTTAAAACCTCAAAGATACAAGTTACCCCAGCCTACTGATTTAAAAGATAACTAAGTTAAGCAGCTGCTGTTTAATATTCTGCCTAGTTCTATGTAATCTTGATAGGGTTAGTAACAGATCAATACCACTGTTCACGTTCATTTTGCTCCTAACATACTTAAGTAAAAAGGAGAGGGCATTTTTGTCTTTAATTCTGTTAAACA